ACGTTATGACAGGTATGTTATGACAGGTACGTTATGACAGGCACGTTATGACAGGTACGTGATGGCTGTGACATCTAACTATACAGCACGAAATAAAACCAAAGTCTCAGTTATTCGAATGCAAACAAAAGCGAAAAAATTAAGTATTGATAGTTAATTTTTAATTTCATTCCAAATAGAATACAGTCGAGTTCGATTTGACTTGGATGAAATTTTAAGTAACGATTCAAATAGCATCAAGTAGATTAGGAGGTTTTCTCAAAGTATACTGTTGAAATTTTTATCTTAAAATTCTTCACTTCAATGTTTCCTCTCTAACGTCATACAAAGCTGAGTGACCTCTGCTCTATCCACTTGTGCTGAGTTGTGTGAGCATCGAACTTGCAGCACACCTGTTCCGTGTCTCTTGGTACAAGTGTTACATTATCGACAGCTTTTTAAAATTTTCGTTTACTGGCGCGGAGGATTTGAACGTCAAAAGTCACGTGGGTGCTTTTATATCTCGTAACAATTGCTTTAATTTCTCAACCTTATGCAGCATGAGACCAGCTTCGATTGCAGTTCAAGTAATAAATTAGTTTTGTATTCAGCGAGCGTAGTACAGTTGCGTTCGTTCGTCGTTTATAGACCGGAGTTTCTGTGCTTTTGTAAGTCACCACAAGTGAAAGGTTTTATGAAGTTCTCATATAAGGCTGATCTAAGTGGTTACATCTTGCTCACATTCTTAATGTAATATTAATATTTAGGCAATAAATTAATTAATAATGTGCCAATACTAATTAATAATATGTATAACATTGATAATAAATAATCAATTAAATTATTAAAATGGGATCCATATTATTAAAATTAAAAATTATTGTTAATGAGGCAATGAATGTAAAGAAAGGAAACATATTATTTCGTAGAATTTTGGCTTTGCATTGGATAACTATATTTTTACTGTATGCGCGCATTTCCAACTCCAGATTAAATTTCAGTTGAATTCTTCAGTAATTACTGTTGACCAACAATGAATGGCTAATCCTCACCTTATAGTTTGTTGTTACACTTGAATATTCAAAATGAAATCAACACATAAATTTCTCTCTGCTAGCCTAATTAGAAATTAACCGTAATCTACAATTATACTTTTCGAATTACTTTCAACACTCAGCAAGATTTAAGCTGTCATTGCAGTTAATGTTAGATAATAAATTATGCATTGCATGCCTAGTGCCACAACCAAAAGATGATCGGCATCAGATGTTCTCATTAGCGGTGATTACGTTCTTAGTTTAGTGGCGGTAAGCCGCATTACCTAAGCGGCGAATCACATTTGAAGTTTCAATACTAATCGCTTTGGACCGCCATTAACGTGCAGCGTTCTACACGTTACACAATGCAGTGTAACATGCATTGTTAAAACACAAACGAGGGCTTTGTCAGATGCTTGCTTGTCGTAACTACACTTGAAACAAAGCCCTCAGACTGCCAGCTACGTTCGCTGTACAGTGTGCACAGCTTCTGTGTATGTCAGTATTGTGAAAGTATACATGTACAATACATGGATGGCAAAGTTGTACACTGGACCTTCGAACATTTGAATATATCTCACTTTTCCGAGGTTTATGCGCTGTCAAAATTATTATTCAGCTCGACCATTGTCACAACATTGTGACGAAACGTTGTCGATACCACCATTGCAACACTATTGAGACGAAAATTCTTCAATGCGACTATTCTAACACTATTGTGAGGAAACTTCGTCAATGCGACAATTGTGATACTATTGTGACCAAACTATTTCGAAGTGATTATTTTTAATGTGAGTATTATAATATGTACGCATTATTTTCACGGCTCCCTCAACCCAGTTCCTCATTTGGGTCAGTTGGAAAGTGCCACTGGTCGACGCCCGGGCTGCACAACGCACGCTGCAGGGACAGTTCAGGGCTGCAACGCAGAACAAAATTGTTTCGAAGCGATTATTTTAATGTACGTATTATAATATCTACGTATTATTTTCACGGCTCCCTCAACCAAGTTCCTCATTTGGGTCAGTTGGAAAGTGCCACTGGTCGACACCAGAACTGCGTCAGGGCTGGTAGAGGAAACCTGTTCGTTGACAGCGATTTGCTTCAGACTTGGTGACCTGATCAGCGAACCTTGCGCAGTGTCGGTTGCATTCTTGACATTCGTTTTTTTTCGTTACGAAAACTGTGCTGTCTGCGAGATTCTCAAACTTGCGGAATTTTAACTGACGATTTGGCATGGGAGTTGTATCGTGTTGACGCGAGTTTTTTCATTTTGTTGGAAATTTGGATTATTTCCAAAAATTTTCATGCATTTTTGAAGACGCGTGGATTTCATGCATGAATGATTTATCAATAAGGACCAAAAGGCTCATTCAAGGACACTCAAATAAATCGTGGTGAAATTGGCCAAACTGTTTGAATTTATGACCGAGCAGCGTTCAGTCGTCTGGCAGTGTAGTGACTGGGATTATAAAGAGATAGTATAGGGAGTTAGTGATAAATGAACAAACTGCACGAACAATAATTATTGTGCGATGGATTGATATCATAAATATATGACATAATTGTTTTTATTAACATATTAAAAACTCTCGACGTCCCGAAGTTACGTTAACAAATCTAACATCTTCACTGAAGAACAGCGTTTTTTTTTGCTGCACATACAATGTGAGCTGACGGCTGGTGAAATAATGTGCATGCGTTGTGGACAGGAAATTTTTTTGGGGGGTAGGAAATGCAGAAAAATTATATTTTAATTATGAATTAAATTATATCTACCTAATTATTATTTTATATTTAGTAATTTTTATTGGTACTCTTCCCAGAGGAGTGTGTGGTGTGACAAACCCTTCAGATGGCTGAGAATAGTTTTATTTAGGGAAATTTAAACTTGAAAATATCTCCTCGACTACCGGCATGGACAGCGCGCCGGTTGTCCAGGGTTACCCTAAGGGCGCCTACTTCATCTTGGCGGGGTACCTGCTGGAGAGGTTAACGTACTATGGACTCTTCGGAGGCGCCGTGTTCTACATGCAGCGCGTACTGCAGTTCTCTGCAGCGCAGTCATCTACCATCAAGTCTACTGTCGAGGGCCTCATCTACTTGGCGCCCATCACCGGGGCCATCATCGCAGACAGCTACTTGGGCAAGGTGAAGCTATTTCAGATCAATTCTATAGCGATTTGTACTATTCGAACAGTCAGGAAAAACATTTACAATATTATAATAGAAAAATGGTGTTTTTGCGTGTTTTTATATGATTTCACAAGATTGGTGGCTGTTGTAAGACGGTTTTGCGACAGCACATTTATACTTAGATGTGCGAATTCCTGTTATTATTCCTCTATAGTGGTTATGTTTCGTGGCCGCGACGTAATTATGGTCAAGGGTCGGTTACCTAGATTACTCTATATTATATGTTGCAAACTTTTGCTAGCTTCTAGTTGGGAAACAAAGATATTTTCTTAAAGTGGTTGATTTCCCGTTAAGTTTGGTCAATCCAATAAAAACGGACATGAATGGTGCGGAACATTTCAGCGCAATGGGCCACTCACAGCATCGTACGCGCTTTACAAGGCCTGATCATTGCTTTAATTTTGGTTGGTGGTGACGGCTGTTGCAACGGGTTGAATATTATTAGTAATCAAGACGAAATATTTGTATCTCATCTCTCATATTCGTGCTTCGCTCGGTGCTCCTAAAGTTTTGTCTGCTGCAGTTTCGCCTGGTGTTCTACATGTGCTGCGGCTACGTGGTGGGCACCGTAATCTACACTCTGTCGTCTGCGTCGCCCATGATGACTTCAGTCGAACTCACAAAGTCCACGGGCATAGGAGGGCTGCTGGTGTTCGGCATGTGCGCGGGCCTCATGAAGGCAGTTTATTCCAGCCTTGGGCCTGATCAATTCATCCTCCCACAACAACGCAGGAGCCAGGAAAGGTGGTAGTTTCTTGTTATTATATAGTGAACTCGTTCAACTCCTTAGTAGTTCTGAGAGATAATTATTTCCATCAGGATAAGAATGTTGCCAAAATTTTCTTAAGGGTAGAATTTTTTTGTGTTATGTGTGCAATTTCATACTCATTTTCGAAAATTGAATCAACTAGAGAATTATGTTGTTTAGTTTAGTCTTTTACTTTCAGCATCAGTGGTTATTATTTTAAATGGGATATTTTCTCTTCATCGCATCTATAAAACAGTTTGAATTTGCTGAACGTTTACAGCCTGCGAGTATAATTCGGATCAACCGATCATCTTAGGATTCTTGTATCTGAATAAAAGACGCGTGATTTTCAGACTTCTGCCTTGAAACCAATAAATAAATAAACTGACTTTCGAGTTTTCGTTTTCAACTAAAATTATTCTGACTTGCTTACTCGTCATCAGATTTTTCTACTTCTTCTATTGGATGATCAACGCCGGAGCGTTCTGCGGACAACTGCTAACCGCGCAACTCAGAGGCTCCGTGCAGTGCTTCGGCAGCGACTGCTTCTTGTTGCCCTACGCCATCCTCGTCGGCGTCATGGTGGTCTCCACCACTGTCTTCTACCTGGGTGAGTATGACTTGGGTGAGTATGACTTGGGTGAGTATGACTTGGGTGAGTATGACTTGGGTGAGTATGACTTGGGTGAGTATGACTTGGGTGAGTATGACTTGGGTGAGTATGACTTGGGTGAGTATGACTTGGGTGAGTATGACTTGGGTGAGTATGACTTGGGTGAGTATGACTTGGGTGAGTATGACTTGGGTGNGGATTGTGTTGCTGATGCAGGATTGTATTGCTGATGCAGGATTGTATTGCTGATGCAGGATTGTATTGCTGATGCAGGCTTGTATTGCTGATGCAGGATTGTGTTGCTGATGCAGTTGCTGATGCAGGATTGTGTTGCTGATGCAGGATTGTGTTGCTGATGCAGGATTGTGCTGCTGATGCAGGATTGTGTTGCTGACGCAGGATTGTGTCGCAGGAAAGCGGCAGTACCGGGAGGCTCCAGCGGACCCCATGCTGATGCGTGCGGTGCGGTGTGTGGGGCGGGCCATCAGACTGCGCTGCTCCAGACACTCGCCGCCCGTGCAGCACTGGCTGGACCGAGCCATGCTGCCTCAAGAAGGCAAGGCCGCCCCTGACCCTGGTCTTATCGTGGACATTAAGAAGACCTTGAGAGTTCTGCTCACATTCACGACGTATCCATTGTTCTGGGCGCTCTTCTATCAGACATCAACTGGAATGATCTTCCAGGTGAGTTTATATATTGGAAATCATATTTTAGGTATATTGTATCTTTTAGAAGTGTAAACTATTACTTTGTCTAGCCAGAATAAGCGTAGTTGAGATCACATTCACGACGTATCCTTTGTTCTGGGCGCTCTTCTATCAGACATCAACTGGGATGATCTTCCAGGTGAGTTTTTGTCTTGGAAATCATATTTTAGGGATGTTGTACTTGTAACTTTTAGAAGTGTAAGCCATTGCTTTGTTCTCTCAACAGTTAGCACAGTTGAGAATATGTGATCAAAGATTGATTTATTACAGTCGAAAATTTTAGTAAGAATAAATATTGATTGAAATATTGAAAGACATGATATCAAGGAACACCTGCCTGCTTTGACAGAAACGTGACTGGAAAATTAACTTCAAAAAGTTCCGGGCAAAATCTAAATAAGCTTTGGCTTAATTTTTTAGATATTTTGTTGCTGTGAAATTTTTTAATAAGTTGTCTCATGACTTCTACGTATTCTAAAACCCAAATATAAATGCGTAAATATTTCAATATATTATTTTGTTAGAATTTGGAAATATACGTATAGTCTCTACTAGCGCACATATCATCAGTAGAGATACACTGGTAAATTATTTTATATAATAATAATTCGTAATAATATTTATGTTAACCTCATTGCAAGGAAACAAGCGTTTGCTTTCAACGAACTCCTACCCATCTACGCTCAAATCTCCCCTACCTCTCCTCACAAAAAAAGATAAAAATAAGCGGTTAATCCGTAACTGAACCTTTCCATTTGTTCTGACCGCCAGGCGAAGAGGCTGAGCAACCGAATTGGGTCGTACCAGATTCCTGCAGAGTTAACTTCGTCCATCAACCCGCTCCTGATTCTGGTGCTGATCCCTCTCTTTGACCTGGTCGTCTACCCACTCTTGAACAAAATAAACGTGCTCACCTCAGTGGCAAGTCGCATGACGACGGGCATGCTTTTCGCGGTCGTTTCCTTCCTCATTTATGGGATCATCAACATGCAGGTGATCATTAAGATAAGTGCTTCGTGAGAATTTGTTTCTGAATAAGAACCGCGTGGACTTTTTTGTCTATGCACTCGTTCAATTTATAGTTTCAAGTCATAACTAAAAGTATTTTAATTTGAAGAGCATATAGGTAGGATAGTTGATAGAACAAACGTGTAAGAAGCTCTTGCAGGTAGTACAAGTTATCCCGACCGAGCAGGATACTGGCATCACTCTGTACAACATCTATAGTTTGTCTTTAATGTTGCAGGTAGAGCAAGTTATCCTGACTGAGCAGGATACGGGTATCACTCTGTACAACATCTATAGTTTGTCTTAAAGGTTGCAGGTAGAGCAAGTTATCCTGACTGAGCAGGATACGGGTATCGCTCTGTACAACATCTATAGTTTGTCTTTAATGTTGCAGGTAGAGCAAGTTATCCTGACTGAGCAGGATACGGGTATCACTCTGTACAACATCTATAGTTTGTCTTAATGTTGCAGTTAGAGCAAGTTATCCTGACTGAGCAGGATACGGGTATCACTCTGTACAACATCTATAGTTTGTCTTAATGTTGCAGTTAGAGCAAGTTATCCTGACTGAGCAGGATACGGGTATCACTCTGTACAACATCTATAGTTTGTCTTAATGTTGCAGTTAGAGCAAGTTATCCTGACTGAGCAGGATACGGGTATCACTCTGTACAACATCTATAGTTTGTCTTAATGTTGCAGTTAGAGCAAGTTATCCTGACTGAGCAGGATACGGGTATCACTCTGTACAACATCTATAGTTTGTCTTAATGTTGCAGTTAGAGCAAGTTATCCTGACTGAGCAGGATACGGGTATCACTCTGTACAACATCTATAGTTTGTCTTAATGTTGCAGTTAGAGCAAGTTATTCTGACCGAGCAGGATACGGGTATCACTCTGTACAACATCTATATAGTTTGTCTTAATGTTGCAGGTAGAGCAAGTTATCCTGACCGAGCAGGATACGGGTATCACTCTGTACAACAACCGCCCTTGTGAAGTGACTGTCATGCCTTGGCTGACGAGGGACATCAAGTGGGTCATACCATCTGCTGGACAGGTACGTCCATCAAGTGGGTCATACCATCTGCTGGGTCATACCTACATCAAGTGGGTCATACCATCTGCTGGACAGGTACGTCCATCAAGTGGGTCATACCATCTGCTGGTCAGGTACGTCCATCAAGTGGGTCATACCATCTGCTGATCAGGTACGTCCATCAAGTGGGTCATACCATCTGCTGGTCAGGTACGTCCATCAAGTGGGTCATACCTTCTGCTGGTCAGGTACGTCCATCAAGTGGGTAATATCACCTGCTGGACGATCTAAAAAACGACGATCTACGTCGATCTAAAAAGTATCTTCTAGGGGTTCTAGAACTGATCAGAATGAAATAATGATGGATTATTGAAAAAATTTATTTAGGTGCTGACATTGATTATAAATTTTGATTGTGCAAGAGAAATGAAAATGTGTCCACGTAACATTAATGGTAGACATTTTGTAATTAATAGTTTTTCAATCCGTGTATCAAATTGTTAGTCCGAATTAACGCTTTGCTGTGTTTTTGTGTAACATTGTACTCACTAAAGCTGGTAACAATCAAACCACATAAAATTTTCACTTGCGGCCACCATATGGGATATTTTCATAAGTAATTTCTTCTTTACAAATCTTCAGCTGGAAGAAACTCTGTCCGTGGCAGACATCCAGAACATGGACGCCTTTACGCTGGGGCTGACGGCGGGCTGTGGGGAGAGCCGCGATCAGATGCAAGAGGCACGTTTATGCCAGAATTTGACTCCCATCAATTGCAATTCATGGCAGTGTACAGGAGATCTTTTTCTTCTAAAATAATCATTTTATGTTATTTAATTAATTTTGCGACGTATATCTACGAATTCGTTCATTTTAGTTCTTCCTAGTTTTGTGTGAAGTTCAAATAATAGGTTTCACTTTTTTGCAGTTAACAGTTGCGTCAAAAAAAAAAAAAAAATATTCATGCCCCAACAAGGAAGGCCGGAGGCCTAAAATTTTCGGTAATTATTCAGGTGTTCAAAACATTTTTCGAAAAGTAAAGATATTTTTCCATAGATAACACTGAAGCTGATGGCCGGGAGCGTGACGGCAGTTGCCATAGACACTGGAAGTGTTCGGCCGCTGCAGCCAACGCTGGATTACATCAAAGACGTCGATGCCGAAGCCAAAGTTCGTCTTACGGTCCTTCAATTGCCCTTAGATAATTCGACCACGTCTCAAAAATACATTCTCAACTACATTGAGATGAATGTTTCTATAGCAGTTACGGGCGGAGAGTCAGCGTTTAAAAAAATACCGCCTCATACATATCGAGTTATCGACAAACAATCCAACGTGGTGCTGGGAGAAGCCAGCATAGATCAGGATGGGGTGTACGACATCGTAATTTCCCCGTCGACATCGGCTCAGATATTTTTCCTAACAGCGCCATCAGAGCTTCACGTGTTATATACTTTACCTCAATACCTCTTCATGACCATAGGAGAAGTTTTATTTTCGGTTTCTGGTATGGATTTCGCTTACACCGAAGCACCCACAGCAATGAAGTCGGTGATGCAGGCTGCCAACCTGTTTACCATCACAATCGGCTTGTGGATTTTCGCCATTTTAACGGCAGTATCAGAAGCATCCGAAGTTTTCAAACACAGAGCCTCACGTGAGGCCTTTACTTATTCAGCAATAATGCTGATCGATACAATGGTTTTCTTTATAATGGTGCGTAATTATTACAGAAATTCGAAGATGGATGAAAAAGTCAATCTTTCCTCGTCAAGTAAACCGGCAACAGGATCGTTAATGGAAAGTAAACCCAATAGAGAAGATTTGGGTAACGATAATCTAGGCTTCGACGAAGTCAGGCTCTGAATGTTCACTAATATTTTGATAGAAATATCAGTGAATTATCAGGATTCAATTTTATTGTAATTTCATTTTCCTTGTAATTTTGGCAGTGAATACTAAGTCGCGACATCGAGAACTAGTAATAAGGGGATGAAATGACAAACAACGTGTGTTCTTGTACTTTAAAGGCTCGTTGAGAAAAAAATCTTACCAGATCCATGAGTTTTAAATCGTTGCATAATGCTTCTGGTTTGACTTTGAAATTGTTCTGAAAAGAATGAAAATATAATTATGTTCATGGTGAAACATACTTCGTTCATATGAAATGTTAGGATATTGTGCTCAAAAGTGTATAATTTCAATACCTAAGTTTTATCATCGCGCATGTTTAAGTGTCCCCTAATATGTCTCTGTATCTTCAAAGACAAAGAATTTTCTCAATTCCCACAGAAAAGTATCTTGAATTTATTTGGAGACTTTGTTTTCTTGGCAAGTTGTTTGAGATATAGGTAGTCTCTTTAACGCATTGGCGTGTAAGATGGACAGCTCAATAAGTATTTTAAGCAAATAAATATTAAATAAATATTGCTTTTTACTTACACAATGACTTTTTGAAAATAGATTTAAATTTGTTCATATCTGGAGCCGATACGGGAATTAATTTCATTGACCATTATATATATCAAACTAACTATATGATTTGGTATGCTGTTTAAATAATACAAAAAACTATAAGAAAAGCATCTAAAATGACATTTATTGATAATTGAACTTCAGACTTAGCTTAAGAAACCAATGCGGAATGCAGAGCCGTCCTAGAGTTATACCCTGGGCAAGGTGAGCTGCAAGTGGCGAACTGCGCACCCGTTGGCCACAAAATAAACTTTTAAAATAGCTTTGTAGACAACGCTCAGACTAAAAATGCACCTATTCACTATGCCTTAGAGCAGTGGTTTCCAAACTTTTTCAGGCTGGTGCCCTCTTTGGCTCCCCAGTGAATTTCCAGGCCCCCCCCCCTACAGACACATATAAAACATACGCCTCATTCTTGATATTTAGGACGATGCAATTTTAAAAGAGAAAGGTTACAAATGTGTATTTCACAAATAGAACCCCATTTAGTAAACCAATATATTTTTTATAGTTATAACTCTTTCAGCACTAGAAATTCAAGACGGCTCGGACAAATTTACGGCCGGACTCGTGGCCGGTCTCGCAGCCGGTCTCACGGCTAATCTCCAAATTCAATGACCAAGGAATGTCTCCCAAACTAATGAACGCAGCTCGCTAAAACTTGGAACACGTATTCATTAGGACCTAACGGTGATGTTTAGCTCGTAAAATTTTTTTAAATTTCACCTTCATTCGTGAGTTAAATGGCGATATGTGCCGAAATTCGCAGTGATCAAAGAATGTCTTGCAAACTACGGAACAGATTCGAACGAAATTTTGAATAAAAATTCCTAACTACCAAACGATATTTTTTAGCTCGTGAAAATTTATTCGAGTCGGAGTCATGTTCTGCATGTGTTGTGTATAAATCGTCGAACAAACTTACAAACTTCTGACTTCGACTTTGCGTACTTCCGCTCTACTGCCCCTTTCTTCCTCACCGNCCCCCCAGATCTTTCAGCCGCCCCCAGGGGGGGGCGATATCGCCCACTTGGGAAATCACTGTCTTAGAGCTATGAAGTAGCCCACCACGATAGAAACGATGTACGCCACACCAGTTCCGCGCTGCTTACGATAATGGCCTCTGCTCAGCTCAGTCTTATGTTCATGGATGAGCAACCTCAGCTTGGCCCTGCCTCCACACTTACCCCGACTCTCCACCTTGCTGCAACTAATGACCGGTTCCACCTCATCACCAGCCCCACCTTTCTACCTTGCTGCAGCTTATGACGATAGGTTAGGTTCGGTTCGGTTCGCTTGGGTGGAGTGTTTAAGGAAAATGTGGAGGTTTGGCTTGCTCGAATTACGCATCCATGAACACGAGACTGCCTTAAACAGTGGCTGGGGACTTACGGCGCTATGACTTTAAGCACAAAACTTCTTGCCCTTTACTACGTACTACGACCTCTTGCTCGTTCTACTACAGATAGGAATATGAATAAAAGTGCACATTTGGGACTTTCTGGTCTCTAACACGCACTCCACAATGAGTTGAGTACGGGAACATGTTCATTGACCAACTTTGAGTCACACTCCGGGCACACTGAGCTGAAGGTGTCGGTGTGCCGAATACTGGAACATGTCGAAGTCTGGCTGATAGAGTCGCACCACTTCTTCCAGCAGCGAGCGAGGCACGCGGCTGTAATATGCTTCCGTTGCTTCCTTCGATGAGTTGAACGAGTCGAAACTGGCGGGACAGCTCAGTGATCAGTCTAGCTTGGATAAAGCGCACGCAAATATTTAATAAGTTAGGTGAGTGGATACTGGCACGACAAAGTGTGGAATGACCAGATTTTCTTTCATGATTTCAGTCACACTTGTGATGATAGTAGCATCAGAGATCATGTTGAAATCACGACACTTACCACCGAGATCGAAAGGAAGAAAGAAGAAGGCGCTTCGTGCGCTCGAGGCGTATATAAAGTATAACTAATTACGATCACTAATTCATAATTAAAAACAAGACCAATTAGAAAGTAAGTCTGTTTCAAGTTAAAAATATTCGTGAAATGATGAATGTACAAAGAATTTGATACGCAGATAAAATAGAGCAAATATCAAATATTCCCAAAAAGGCCATTCCGAAGACCAGCCAGGCATTAAAGTATAAAATACTGTAGTCAATTTATGGTAAAATTTATAACCTAAAATGTAATTAGAAATAATATTTTATTATAATTTACATCTAATACTAAACTCTAACGGACAGATATTATACAAATATATATTATTAATACTAAACTCTAATATTATGGACAAATATTTTTGAACAAATAGAATGATTTTGAAGACTTACCACAGTTGTAAAATGATACAAGTGCGCAAGCAAGCACCGGCGCGTCATGACTATTCTTGTGATGTTTATCATGATGTTATTTCTGTTATGATGTGATCATTAAGATGAGTTGGACGTTATTGGTATGCTGTTATTGGTGTTATGAAAAGGTTATTGCGATAAACGATTCCTTTTTAATACTAGATTAGAAGTATTAACGTGTCCACTTACCGAGAAGAGTGCCTTTCGGCGAAGAGCTTCCCTACAGGAATTACTTTTTAATAATAGATGACAAGTATTAACGTGTCCACTTACTGAGAGGAGTGACTTTCAGCGAACAGCTTCCCTATAGGAAGATGCAGTACTAGATTACAAGTATTAACGTGTCCACTTACTGAGAGGAGTGACTTTCAGCGAACAGCTTCCCTATAGGAAGATGCAGTACTAGATGTGTCTCTTATACACATCTAGATGTGTATAAGAGACAGCACCCCGCCTCTCCCTGACACCCCAGCAGCCTGGCCACAGCAGTCACCCCACACCCCGCCTCTCCCTGACACCCCACCAGCCTGGCCACAGCAGTCACTCAACATGTAAGATAATCTTTTGAAGCAAATATAAAAACAGCCATAATAATATTTAACTTCGATAATTGTTACCTGCTTTGAACCGGAAGGTTCTAATCTGTCTTGAGAAAATTTAGCTACAATATGTGTGAAAAAATTTAGCTACATTTCAAGGCTGCAATTGTTAATTGAACTCGTGATACCTGGCCATGATTGCAAACTTTTGCCATGGTATTTTGTTCCAGAATCCTATATTTGAGCCTGAGTCTATAATATACTTTATATTGTTTGAATGGGGCATGGCCAACTAATAAATCACTGGAAATGTATTCTGCCAAGGAGAATGTTCGTTCTCCATCTCGTCAACCTTGAACGCAGGACTCGCCTTGTCCTGAGTGAAAGTGGTCAGTGAATTAAACTCTCTCTCCTTTTATCTAATTGTTCATCCAGCTACCATTAAAGTTCTTGAACCAAATTAACTTATGCTACGAGATAAACATAGAATTATGATGGAAAACGTTAGTTTAACTCCGTAATGAAATCCCACTGAAACTTTAATCTTTGAAGTTACCAGTATTATTACATATTATTCTACGAAGAAACTGTCCAATACATTGCGTACAACGGAACTTTGAGGACACATAACATATTCAGCTCAGGATTAAGAATGGTTCAATACTGAGTAAAATAGGGGCCTGAAAAATGATAGAAGCGACTATGTTGGTCAGTCGTTAAATTACGTTAAATTTACGTTGAATCTCATTTTACGTTAAATTTCAGGTCAATGATATGATAATTGAAAAGAATTGAAATTTTCCATTCCAACTTACGTAGAAGCGATGTTTCATGGGCCAACAATTAAAATGAAAATTCTAGATCCTGGTAATTTACTAACCAACTAGGATTTGTTATGGATTTTGTTTATATTTTTACTGCCACGCATAAAACAAATAAACAGGTATTAAAACAGTTCTAAATTTATAGTAGAGTGTGTTGTATTTTTTAATTAAATGTCTTAGCGTAAATTTACTACAACATCAGTATTTCTGTCAGTTTAATTGTATCACGTGATGCGGGAAAACATTGCGATGGCAGTTCAGATTCACAAGAAGCTTCTTAGTTTCAATACATTCAATGCTCCATACATCTGATACAATGCTCCATATTCTCTATACATACAATGCTCCATACATCTGATACATACAATGTTCCATATTTTCAATAAAAACATGTCCCTTAATAGAAGACTATTGACAGAGTTGGTCTCAAGTGGCGCGCGACACTGAACTTGAGACAGAGGTCTGACCTGGTCACTGAGTCGGGGCTTGGGCAGTTTTCATTTCTTCAGACAGCCCCGGCTCAATAGAAGCTCCTCGTGCATGACAGCAATTGTTACAGTCTCGCATCGCAGTCAACTGCTCAACTTGTCTGTGCTGCACATTTTCGGGGAATTAACGCTAGTGAGAAATGATGTGATGGCCTGGCAGTGAAGCTAGGCATGCACCGTATCAGAGCAGCGCAGCTCAGGAGGCTGAGCGTTCGAAAGTTTCCCTTGACCTGAGGGCGCTGGTGCACAAGTGGCATCATCCAGACTACAGGCTGGCCGGGCTAAGAACAGTCACACGCTGGGTCAGCAATGAGCAGTTTCCAGTGCAGTGCTAAGGTGCGCGCTGTGCAGTCGATTTCCAGCGCATTTAGTCGGATGTGCGAAATTTGCAGCGGGCTTCCAGTGCAGTTGTGAGATATAAGTGCTGAGTAGTAGGTTTCATGTGCATTTGGGGAGATGTGCGCACTTTGTAGTGGGGTTCCATTTCATTGACATGTGCAAAAATTGTGCATGCTGTGCAGTAGGTTTCCAGGGCAGTGGAGAGCAGAGCGCGCTGTGCTGTGGTGAAGTGTACGAGACGTGAGGGTAGGCGAATAAGTTAAGTTTAAGCGTGCTTGTTGTAAACAACATTCATCCTCATTCTTATAGAGAACATAGCGTTACAAAAGCAAATTAAATGAGATGATTGGTCATGCAAATAATAAAAGTGTGATACCGAACATGATAAC